ACCAGTTACTGCACATTACACCCACCCAAAATAAGGGCTCCGGGTCACTGCTCGTCGCCCGCGGGCTGGCAGCACTGTACGGCTGCAAAACACCCCCGTGGCACCCAGGCCACTAACAGAAAACTGCGTGATTTGTGCCCTGCAGAGCAGGAGTCGACACCACTGCAGGCAAGGACCCTGCCTGCAAAGGATGTGTTCCCTAATTGCGCACGTTCGTGGGGTTTAATTTGCTTCAGAAGGACAGCTCTGCAGAGAGGGACCTGGGTGTCCTGGTGGACGACAGGTTAACCATGAGCCAGCAGTGTGCCCTGGCTGCCAAGAAAGCCAATGGGATCCTGGGGTGCATCAAGAAGAGTGTGATTAGCGGAGCCCGGCCAGGCGAGACACTGTTCCCATGCCCCTGCTTTGCCACCAGCTAGGCTGAGTTAAAGCATCCCAAGATTAAAATTCAAAGTGACGACTTTCCATCGTGAGTTTAATCCCCTCAAGGCAGGCTCTTCCAGGATTATCTGAAGATGCAAAATCCTGGAAGCAGGTAACGATGCCGTTCTCGATGGGGGAGAACACACTGCAGCTCTAAACCCTCTCCAAGACCCTCACTGGGAAGAGGGTGCCCTCGCTGACCAGCCCCCGAGGCCAGGCTCCTTCAGAGCCAGGTTTTTAAAGGTGGCAGGGAAAATATTTACTGATTACTCAGAGCTTACATAACCCACTGGAAATCTTTGTGCTGGGTGCTTGGCAAAAATAAATCATGAGGATGACAAACTAACAACCTCCCTCCTCTAAATTATTTGGCAAAGCTGCAAATTATAACCCTTCCCTGCGACCAAAGTCATTTCTTTCCCCCCGCAGAAAGCCCCGGAGCAACCCCCAGCATATGCCAGGGAGATGTGACATTCCTGAAACTGGGGAGCAGCATTTTTCTGACGTGCCTGCCCCAGTAAAGAGGACAGACACACACTTCAGTGGCCAGGAGCTCATTTGCCGTGGCAGCAGGGTCCCAGCAAGCCGTGCCGAGCATTTCTTTTTATCTTTCAGGAGGAAAAAAACAGTAGCTTGTTAAAGAAAAAAAGGGGAGAAAGCCTTCCTGCTACAGACATAAAATAAAGGAGAGCCCAGGAGAGGGTTAAAAATCCCTTTGCAGAGGAGATCGAGGAAAGGACTCACTCTTGCAGAGACCTGTCGAGGTCCTCGGCGGTGGCCGTCCCCAGGTCAGAGTCGCAGGAGAGCGGCTCCTCGCTCCGCTCGGGGCTGCGGGCGCAGTGAGCCGGGAGGATGCTGTCAGAGCCCAGGCTGGAGGAGAGCTGGGACGAGCTCGTGGTGTTCAGGCTCAACGACGACGACGTGAGCTTGATTTTGCTGCTGGCTTTGCTGATGGGTAGGACGGAGGGTTGGATCTCGATCTCGTCCGACCCCGACGATTGGGAGATCGAACCCAGCGATTCTTTTCTGCGGGGTTCGGATGTCGAGGACGTGAGGGGCTCCAGCAGCTCCGACACAGGGCACAGACCTGACAGGGACAGAGGGGTGATGGTCCACTCGTTCAAAACCGCCGATTTATAGGAGAGCTCGAAGGTTAAAGACGTTAAGCCCTGCAAGTAGCTAAGGAGAAACTCGCACTCCTCGGCATCTAAGAGCAGAGCAGTCGCCTGGTAGTACTCGGGCAGTCGGGACCTCTCCCGCAGCAGCAGCTTCAAGTAACACTCCATGAGGCCATCGTTCAAAGCCAGCCTCAGCCAGGCTCGGCAGCGGCCGACGTCTGTATTGATGAAAATGAGCTGTTCCAGTTCTGAGACAATATTGCTGGGGAAAGGGAAGAAAAAAAACCAGAACAGGACATGAGCGGCTGCATTTTCGGCCCATCACAGGGTGCAGGAGGGGCAGATTCTCCATTCAGGAACTGCCCACCCTGCTCTGCTGCAGGGAGTTTAGGAGTTGGGTCAAACAGGCTGTGGAAAATCTCTTTACCCTGTGGAAAGCATGGTTTCCCACAGAGAAAGCAGAGCTCCTGAATTCTCCAAAGCTAAATATATTGGTAACAACGCCAGGCATCGCTGGGGTGCCCCTGGGTGCTGCTCCCCGCTCTGGCGGGAGGATTCTGCCACACATCACTCGCCCTGGACCAAGGAGGCAGAGGAGGAAAT